CACCCCGAGCTCAAAAGGTTCGCCATCACTGCCTTAGGAGGACCCTAATTAAGTGAATAACAATGTACCTACCTATATAGTTTAAGTTTAAAAAATGTGGCTCTCAAAAGAAAGTTCAATCGTTGTACTGTTGATATTTGGCTCTGTTGACGAATGAGTTTGCCGACCACTGGGCTAGGACAACGGGTCCTCCTTAGTGAACCATCACTCTGTTAAGTAAAGGGACTACTGGGCAGAGCCAGCTCTCCTTGGCTAAACCAGCTGCTGGAATGCCATCTCCCATCTGACTTTTTTTAAAAAAATATATTTTATTGATTTTTTACAGAGAGGAAGGGAGAGGGATAGAGAGTTAGAAACATCGATAAGAGAGAAACATCGATCAGCTGCCTCCTGCACACCCCCTACTGGGGATGTGCCCACAACCAAGGCACATGCCCTTGACCGGAATCAAACCTGGGACCTTTCAGTCCTCAGGCCGCCGCTCTATCCGCTGAGCCAAACCGGTTAGGGCTCCCATCTGACTTTTATTACAAAGGGAGACAGAGCTGAGGGCTCGCGGGGCGTCAGTCAAGCTTTCTCTCCCACAGGCACCGGCACCTGCCCTTGTCACTGAGCATCCTCCATGCAGCCCCACCTCCCACCGCAGGGAAGCAGCTGCCCTGGTCACTGGTCCTGAAACACAGTGACCAGGAGAACACCTCCCGGGGGCCAGGGACATGCGTTACCCTAATCTCAACACACACAAATTTCCTATCAAAATACATCACCACAGGCCAGGCCAGCGTGGCTCAGTGGTTGAGTGTCGATCTATGAACAGGAGGTCACAGTTCGATTCCCGATCAGGGCACATGCCCGGGTTGCGGGCTCGATCCCCAGTAGGGAGGCGTGTGCAGGAGGCAGCTGATCAATGATTCTCTCTTTTCATTGATATTTCTATCTCTCTCTTCCTCTCTCCTCCTCTCTGAAATCAATAAAAATATATATTAAAAAAATGCATCACCACATCCTGAAAATGTCAGGAGTCTCACGAATGCATGTCCTGTCCACCTCGTGTGAACACGTCAAAAAACCTTCAAGATGCCCTGCGGCTATACGTGCATAACCCATGGACACAGACAATAGCGTGGTGAAGGCCTGGGGTGGGGAGGGCCCTAGAGGGGGGCAGTGGGGAAGTAAAGGGGACATTTGTAAAACTTTCAACAATAAAGATTTTTAAAAAGTAAGGAACTCCATAGGGGAAATGCCCTGCTGCTAAATTCCCTGTTTCTGGTCAAAGTGACAAGGAACAGAGACTCGACCACGAATCGCCCCGGCTTTATCTCATGGACAAATCACTCACTTGGGAATGGTTACTCGACGTCTCGATTTTCTCCTGCGACTTGTCTCTGGCGAGTCTGGCGGCTTCTTTCACCTCCTGGAACTTCTCTGCGAACTGAACATGAAGAGCAGTTACGAAGGGTGTCGTGGCTGACAATCCTCACGCAGCTTAATTAGCTTGCGTCCGTGTTAGGCCAATCGATTCGGTGCCGATCCTGAAGAAGGATTTTACTTGAGATAAAAAGAAATGGATATAAGGAACTCTTCTTCCAATAAACACCATTGGCCAAAGTCTGATCCGGGTCAATTCTGCAGCTACTGAAGCTAGTGTGATGATGAAGGACGGAAACAGACACCCCTGGTTAACGGTAACTCATGCAAAGGCAAGAAAAGTAGCTCAGTTGTACCCCAGAAGGAATCGGAAGAAAGCAACATCATGTCTAAGGAAAGATCCAAGAATTCCTACAAATCAATGCAATAAAAAAAAAAATCCAAAAAGTTAGGGAGGAGACACTGTTCTAGATTTTAAAAGCGTAAGATATGAAATACCAAAATGCCAAATAGCAAAATGCAGCACATACTCTATGACTGAACCCTGTTTTGAATGGACTACCTATAAGCAACAGGGGAAATGTGACTGTGGACTGGACAAGACGACAAAGAAGAATCACTATTAATTTTATTACAAGTGTTGCCCTGCCTGGCTAGTGTGGCTCTGTGGACGAGCATCGACCCGGGAACCAAGAGGTCACCGGTTTGATTCTCTGTCAGGGCACATTGATCCCCAGTAGGGGGCGTGCAGGAGGCAGTAGATTGATGATGTTTCTCTCTCATCGATGTTTCTCTCTATCCCTCTTCCTTTCTCTCTAAAAATCAATACAAATATTACCCCCCCCCCCCAAAGTGTTTCCCTGGCCAGTTTTCTCAGTGGTTAGAGCAGGGGTAATCAAACTATGGCCCGCGGGCCACATGCAAATACAAATATTGTATTTGTTCCCGTTTTGTTTTTTTACTTCAAAATAAGATATGTGCGGTGTGCAAAGGACTTTGTTCATAGTTTTTTTTTAAACTATAGTCTGGCCCTCCAATGGTCTGAGGGACAGTGAACTGGCCCCCTGTTTAAAAAGTTTGAGGACCCCTGGGTTAGAGCATCAGCCCACAGACCAAAGGGTCACAGGTTCGATTACCGGTCAAGGGCACATACCTTGGTTGTAGGTTCCCCAACCCTGGTAGGGACGTATGTGGGAGGCAACCAATTGATGTGTCTCTCTCACATCAATGTTTCTCTCACTCTCTGCCTCTCCCCTCCCTCCTGTTCTCTCTAGAAATCAGTGGAAGAAATATCCTCGGGTGAAGATTTTTTTTAAAAAAAAGTGCTAATGGTGTTATGTTGAAAAATGTCATTTTTTAAGAAACAAATTCTGCAATTTTTAGGCAGTTAAAGAGCTTTCTTTGATGTCTGTAATTTAACGTACTTCTTTCTACAATAAAACATAAAGAAATGTGGCAAACGTTAACAACAAGGCGATGTGTACGCGGGTGTTTATTATACCATACCTCTCTCAAAGTTTAAAAAAATGTTTTAATATTTTCATGATAAAAAAATCCTTAAAAATCCCAGAACAATCACACCAATCATGACCTACAGTCACTGACAAGGCAACTGATTTTAATTAGCAAGGACACTGTGCGAGCACAGAACATTCGGTGACAGGCAGTGCCGGTGTGACAAAGCACGAGAGCTGAATGCGGTTGCTGAGAAACAAAAAAGCAAGCCAGTCACAAGGCCACCGACAACGCGTGGCTTTTGCTAAGAACTCACGAACCTCTGAGCACAGGCTACCCCCTGATCGCGTTCACACGGCCGACAACGGTGGTCTGCTCGGGGAGCCCTCGCCAGATGGCGGACGCTGGTGAACCTAGCACCCTGGTCGAAGCAGAAAGGTCAGTCTTGCTGTTCTGGCCCCTGTGGCCCCTGCAGGCCCATCAGTAAAGCCATAGCCTCCCGGCCGGTGTGGCTCAGTGGTTGAGCGTCAACCCATGAACCAGGAGGTCACGGTCCGATGCCTGGGTTGTGGGTTCGATCCCCAGTAGGGGATGTGCAGGAGGCAGCTAATCAATGATTTTCTCTCATCGTGGATGTTTCTAGCCCTCTCTCCCTCTCTCTGAAATCAGTGAAAACATATTTTAAAAAATTAAATTTAAAAAAAAACCACACACAACACAAAGCCACAGCCATGGGGCTTCATATCCCAAAAGTGACATCTTTTGATGACATAATAATGTCAAGTTTTTCAATATACAAGGAAAAAGAGTAAATCAGAAGGAAAACCGGTGCCTGGGGGAAATATCATAGCTAGGCTAGTACAACAGCAAAGGGGCCATTATCTTCAGTAAAGAAAGAGTTTGTGCAAATTAAAAAAATAATATGTTTTTATTAATTTCAGAGAGGAAGGGGAAAGGACATAGAGAAACATCGACGAGAGAGACACATCCATCAGCTGCCTCCTGCACGCCCCCCACTGGGGATCGAGCCCGCAACCCAGGCATGTGCCCTGAATGGAATCGAACTGTGGACCTCTTGGCCCATGGGTCTATGCTCAACCACTGAGCCACACCAGTCGGGCTGTGCACATTTTTTTAATGAGAGAAAGTTTATCTAGGAAGTCACAGAGGTAGCGGAAGTGAGCCAGCCTGGCTGTGTAGGCTCAGGAAGCAAGTCGCAGAAGCAGGAGGAGGGCCCTTGGAGCGGAAGGGAGAGAAAAGTCACGCTCCTGGGGGAAGGCGAGGGGGACGGAAAGGCGAGGGGCGCTCCCAAGGGGGAGAGCACCGAGTTTGTGCAAACTGAAAAGGCAATTATGCAAACCCCAACAGAGAAATGTCAAGACTCACAAATAAAAAACCACAATAAGTCAGCAACCTACAGAAAAGGGGCTCCGCCTCACTGAAGATGCCAATCGGAATAACGAGGTCCCATGCTCTGCCGGCTCAGGCACCGAACACTCACACACCATCACAACGCCCGGAGCTGGCAGGACACTCCCGGGAGCGCGGGGTATTGGTGCAGCCCCTCGAGAAGCAATTTGGAGAAATGTATCACAAGCGAAAAAAAATATTCATGCCCACTGGCTCTGTGATAACACTTCTGGGACACTGTTCTATGAAAACAATTGAGAATATGAAAAAAAAAAAGGCCTTCGATAGATTAAGATCCCAGATTCATTTGTAATAATGAGCACTGGAAGCAATCCAGACGCCCTGGGAGCACGCTCCCCCCCAGCTCCCACTGCGAGAGGAGAAGCACTTGTTAACCAGAGAGGAGCCAGATGGCTCTCCTTGGCTGAAACATCCCTCCTTCCAAGCCTTCAGGTTTATAAGACGCCCCCCGCCCCCTTTATAAAAAAGCACACGTGCTTATACATTTAGAACGCAACGTTAAAAAATTTTTTTAAAACCTATACTCCCACCACCCAGAGGTAAACACTAACCACATATCTTTCTGCTATTTTTCTATCTGTATGTATACATCTGTTACACATATTTTCATATGTATATTTTTAATTAATATCAGAGAGGAAGGGAGAGGGAGAGAAGGATAGGAACATCAGTGATGAGAGAGAATCATGAATCGGCTGCCTCCTGCACGCCCCACACTGGGGATCGAGTCTGCAACCCGGGCATGTGTCCTGGCTGGGAATTGAACCGTGACCTCCTGGTTCATAGGTCGACCTTCAGCCACTGAGCCACATCGGCCGGGCCCACATATCTCTTTTCTAAAATGAAGTTAGATTGTATCTCACTTTATACTGTTTTTGAAGTTACTAAGATGACATTAATATCTCTATGTAATTACAGGATCTTCTATTAGATCGTCTGAATTGCTGTACAATATTACCCCAAAAGACATACTGGCGTTTATCTAACTAATTTCCTACTGCTGGACATTTAGGTTGGTTTGCTTTTTGTTTGTTTGTTTTTACTGTTATAAATGATGCTGCAAGGAAAATCCTTATAGCTAAATCTCTGTGCTCAGTTACAATTATTTCCTGAAAATAGATTCCTGTAAATAAAACCCATTAATCAAAGGCTAGTCAAACCACAATGGTGTCTGAAAGGTATGCCCAATTCTCTCTTTTACTTATTAGGACCATTCTCTGCAGTGGTAATGTAATAACTTTCATCAGAATGAAAGTATCATCACCATCACAGAAAACTAAAGACATTTATTTCATTTTATTTCTGGCTTTTCTGGCCTTGGCAATTGAAGACACTGTGGCAGACACTGCCTAGCTGCTCAGTCAAAGGCCATTTCTTTTTTTCCTTTAGCTTAACAGAATCTCAAATTTGTCCGGAGCAGGAAATTTCCTAGGTGATAAAGAATGAGAACTGGCCCTAGCCGGCTTGACCCAGTGGATAGAGCATTGGCCTGTGGACTAAAGGGTCCCAGGTTCGATTCTGGTCAAGGGCACAGGCCTGGGTTGTGGGCTCCATCCTCAGTAGGGGGTGTGCAGGAGGCAGCCAATCAATGATTCTCTCTCACCACTGATGTTTATATCTCTCTCTCCCTCTCCCTTCCTTCCTGAAATCAATAAAAATATATTTAAAAAAAAGAATGAGAACTGGTCTAAGCCAATCATGGCACCCAATTCTGTACACCCCACCCCCCGGCCCCTTTTTCTGGGGGAGTGGAAGGATGGCCTAGGAACCCAAGACTGACAATGAGACCCAAGGAGTCTGCCCAGGACGTTTACAGGGAGGCTGTGTGGACCACCACCCCCCCTTCGGCCCCCCTGCCATGACGCAGATGTGATGGACAGAGCTGCAGAGGTCATCTTATCACCAGGAGGGAAAGGCCAATGAACGACAAAACAAACACACACAGAGCCCTCAGACCCAACATGGCGGAGCGGGTGCCAGTGTTGGCAGCCGCGTGCCTCTGATTCCTCTTCCGAATGAGAATAGTTCTGTCTGCTTAAGCACCACGATTAGGTTCTGATCCGTGCAGCCAAAGCACTCTAACTGAAACACAAAAGGATTAATACCCCCCAGGAAAAGACACGGCCCTTAACTCAGGAGGCAGAATGGTATGAGACAGGGCAACGTTCTCACGGTGACACTGAGTTAACCAAGTGACCGTGAGGACACCACTTTGAATGACAGATGAAATAACTGAAATGGGTCAAAACCCAATGCCAGTGTGTGCCAGGGCCTTGACGGGTCAACCACGGGGCCCCAGCACCCGCCCCCTGCACCCCCCCTCCCCCCGTCACAGCTGTGTGTTCCCTTTTCTCTGCCAGGAATTAGATGGAACGGAACCTAGAAGGTGACATCTCAAGGTCAGGTGCCAGAAAGAACCTATACTTTTTTTTTTTAATCCTCACCTGAGGATGTTTTCCCATTGGTTGTTAGAGAGAGTGGAAGAGAGAGGGAAAGACAGAGAGAAACATCCATGTGAGAGAAACACATCGATTGGTTGCCTCCCGCACGAGCCCGGAGCAGGGCCCGGGCCGGGGAGGAGCCTACAACCCAGGTACGTGCCCTTGACCAGAGTCGAATCTAGGACCCTTTGGCCCGCAGGCCAGTGCTCTACCCACTGAGCCACACTGGCTAGGGCTAGAACCTAAACTTGCTCGTTCTTACACTTGGTTCTCCTCCCATAAGCACTTGCCTTTGTCAGAACAGGCACGTGCCCCTCCAGTGTCCCTCAGCCGGCTGAGCTAGCACGTCCCCTCCGGTGGGTGGGTGGGCAGGCGGGGCCCGGGCTGCCTGTGGGAATCCATGGCGTCTATTATTTTTGGAAAGCCTATCTAAAGAGCAGAGAGTGTTCCCATGATGCTCGCTGGTTACGGGGCACAGCAGTCCTTATATGGAAGCAGTCAAGATCAAGGTACCTATTTTCTTTCTGGGGGGTGGAGAGAGGCGTGTGCATGCAGGGTTCTTCAATGAGAACCTCCACGTGGTGTCCCTTCATCCAGCCGATTATGGTGTTTGATTACCAAGCCCCCTTCCCGGGCTGTGGGTGGCGGCTCCGTGGGGTCAGGCATATCTGGCCACGGCTGTGCCCTCAGCAACACGCCTTGGGAGCCCTTGAGCCCAAGCTCCCCTTTGCCAGCTAATTGCCACTTGCAGGCCTGCCAGCCTCACTTCCTGGTGATTTACCAGCGAGTGGTTAATCGTTCCCTTCACGGAGAAGGGGGCCGCTGATCGGAAACATTTTGAACAAAGGAGACCTGTGGTAAGTCTTTGCGGCAGAGGCAGGCACGGTCACAGAGCCGGGCCTCCAGGAATGACTCAGGAAGAGGACTCCTCCGTGAGGACAGGACGTTGTCGCCCGTCGGGGAGACGTCACAAGTGGCCACGCGTGGACGCAGCACAGACAGGGTCTCTCCAGTGCGCAGAGGCACAAACACTGAGCTTTAACAACCTGTTCTGTTTCCGTTTTGAGTTCTTCCTTCTTTTGAGTCTTTTCATTGAAAATTTTCCCCCTTTATCCTTCCTACTCTGGTTCCTCCAAAGTTTGAAGAAATGGTTCCAAGCAGCTGGGGGCGGGTGTGGGGGGGTTCTCAGACCATCCTGGGTGTCTGTGAGCTCAGGCCCTGGGTGGGACCGGGGCGGGTGTGACCTGAGGCAGCCCAGCCAGTGCCCTGTCTCTGACGGGAGCCTCCACGTCTTGCCCTTTCCCAGTGACCTGAGGCTTCCGCCCAATGAGTTGGGGTGTGAGGCAGGCGTGGGAGGGGGCCACCTGGCAGGGGAGGGGTTGTTCCGCCCCCTCCCCCCCACAGACACTAATTCAGGGTGGAAAGGCGGGAAATCCTCACAGCCCACTTCAGCCAGAAGTTCTGGTGTCATTCTTGCAAGAAACCAGCATCATTTACACCAGGGGATACTGTGCAGCAGTAAGACAGAAGGATCTCTTACCCTTCGAGACGGCATGGAGGAAACTGGAGGGCATCACGCTAAGTGAAATAAGTCAGTCAGAGAAAGACAAGTATCACATGATCTCACTCATGTGTGGAATCTAATAACAAAACAAACTGATGAATGGAGTGGATCCAGAGACAGGAAGCATGGAACAGAGGGCGGAATGTTGGAGGGAAGGCGGGGGAGGGTGGGTGGGTGGGAGGTGATCAACCAAAGACCTTGTATGCATAGCTGCATAACCCATGGACACAGACAGTGGGGTGGGAGGGTCTGGGGGGGAGGGTACGCTGGAGGGGGTCGATGGGGGGAAAAGGGGACATATGTAATACTTTCAACAGTAAAGATTAAAATAAAAAAGAAATCAGCATCATGCCTGTTTCCACTTTAAGCAAAATCTCCCTGAGCCTCTTCATTTCAGAAGACAGCATCACTCCCCTCCCCCCCCCCCCAGGCCTGGACTTTGAACTCTCCTTGGGTTTCGTCAGCTACTCTGACATTCTTTCAAGAGGTTCCCGAGTCACATACACCAGCCAGTCTCGCTTGCAACCACCGTATCCTTAGTAACTGCGGGGGCTCTCCCACCACCCTGAAAGGGGGCCTGTTTTCCTAAAACCAGCTTTCAGCTCCTCTCATCGCCTGGGTGAGGCCCTTTGGGCCCCGAGTCTGTGACCAGCGCCATGTGCGCCTCGAAACCACTCTGAGCATCGGGAGTGTGTCCTAGACCCTCGCAGGAGCAGACCAAGACTATGAACCCTCTCCTACAAGAAAACACTGTGTGACAGCTTAAACAGTGGGGACTTGAGGTTAAGAACTGCTATTAGCCCTGGCCGGTGTGGCTCAGTGAATAGAGCGTCGGCCAGCGGACCAGAGGGTCCCGGGTTCGAGTCCAGTCAAGGGCACGTACCTTGGTTGCAGGTTCCTCCCCAGCCCGGGCCCTGGTCGGGTCTCGTGCAGGAGGCAACCAATCGATGCGTTTCTCTCACATCGATGTTTCTCTCTGTCTCGCCCTCTCTCTTCCACTCTTTCTAAATATCAATGGAAAAGTATCCTCGGGTGGGGATGAACAAAAAACAAACAAACAAAAAGAAGTGCTATTAGGTGTCACCTCACCCCCCCCTCTCTGACTAGAGCTCCAACTAGAGGGCCAGCGGCTGCTGCTGACACTGCCCAGGGAGCAGGGCGGACACGTGGGCGGGACGGCGCCGGCCGCCTCCTGGTGCTGGGCTCAGGCTCTGAGCAGCGTGTCGGACATGCCTTCCTTTCCCAAGTGACATCTCCATTTCAAGGAACCTGGCATGTCTGAAAGGTCACCTGGTCTGGCAGCCCTGCGGGCCAGACGGGGCAGAGCTGCGGGCAGAGGCGTCCCGCCGGCTGGCCCTGCCGCTGCACGGCCGGGGGTGGGGGTGGGGGTGGGGGGTCCGGGGGGGGGGGGGGGACAGGCCACGTTACCTTTGTCAGCTGCTGCTTCGACGAAAACCCAAACAAAACACCGTGTTGGCTCTGCTGTCGGCCACTGCCCGAACTTCTGCGACGTTTTGGTGAAAGTCATATTGGGTGTGATTGTGCTGTTTATAATCACCTGCAGGAAGACAGCCGGAGAGCGGAGATGTGAACACCGAGTTAGACACACAGTGGCTCGCTGTCTCTGCGGGTAAAGCCAGGACCTGGCGCAGAATGCAGGCCCCCCACCCTCCCCGACCGGGACATCCGTCCCGACTTCTCCCGCTTCTGGCACCTCCCACGCTGAGTCAGGTGCACAGCTACGATGAGGGCAACGCCAGAGACTTAAACACAGCCTCTCAGCCTAAAACAAGAACTTACAAGTCACCAGTGGGAGAAAGTCTCTCCTAAGTCTAGTTTCCAAAATTGCTCTTCATTTGTCCAAAGCTGCCAGGCACCCAATTGCCCTTGACGGCCAGCCAGGTCACACGTTCGCTGAAGAACGTCATGTCGTACCTTTTTAAGCACCTGGCGTCCCAGCGTCCAGCTCTAACAACTTAGTGCCCATAAGCAATCGGGCCTCGCTGCTTCGCAACAGGGAGGGAAGGATGCACCCCAAGTGGGATGATGTTTGGAGGGTGGATTTACAAAGAGACTACGTATGCAGGCATGAGCTGGGCGTGGGGAGAGTGAGGGACAGGGGAGGGACCTGGTGCTGACCATCGCCCCTCCATGGCCTAAAAGGACGAGGGAATGAAGAGGCTATAGAATGTGGCCTGGCCGGGGTGACTCAGTGGTTGAACGTTGACCTAAGAACCAGGAGGTCATGGTTTGATTCCTGGTCAGGGCACATGTCCGGATTGTGGGCTTGATCCCCAGTGGGGGGCCTGCAGGAGGCAGCCAATCAATGATTCTCTCTCATCATTGATGTTTCTCTCTCTCTCTCTCCCTCTCCCTTCCTCTCTGAAATCAATAAAAATATTTTTTAAAAAAATCATATCCGCCCTAACCGGTTTGGCTCAGTGGATAGAGTGTCGGCCTTCGGACTGAAGGGTCCCCGGTTCGATTCCAGTCAAGGGCATGTACCTTGGTTGTGGGCACATCCCCAGTTGGGGGTGTGCAGGAGGCAGCTGATCGATGTTTCTCTCTCATCGATGTTTCTAACACTCTATCCTTCTCCCTTCCTCTCTGTAAAAAATCAATAAAATATATTAAAACATATATATAAAAAATTAAAAAATCATATCCAGTCCTAGCTGGTTTGGCTCAGTGGATACAGCATCAGCCTGCAGACTAAAGGGTCCCGGGTTCGAGTCTGGTCAAGGGCACATGCCTGGGTTGTGGGCTCGATCCCCAGTAGGGGATGTGTAGGAAGCAGCCAATCAATGATTCTCTCATCACTGATGTTTCTATCTCTCTCCCGCTCCCTTCCTCTCTGAAATCAATATATATATATATATATATTTTTTTTTTTTAAAAGAGGCTATAGGACGTGGAAGGAGAGAGTCCTGGAGAGCAGGCTGCCATGAAAGGAGAGGTGACCTTCTGTGGGAGACACACCAGCAAAGCAAACACCCTCGCCCCCTTGCCTCTGATCTCCTGCCATCGGCCAAACCCAAGCAGAAGCCAGAGGCCCCGCAGGCCAGCCTCTCGGGGCCGGAACAAGGCAGAGGATGAGTCAGGAGGGGTGGGAGGAGGACCTCCAGCACGCGGTGATCACTCATTCATTCGGCACAGCTTCCTCTCTGCACTGCACGCCAGGCATGCTGCCAGCACAGACACGAAGATGAATGAGTCCCGATTCCTGCTCTTCACCTTGCAGGTGGCCAGGAAGAGGGTAGAGACAGGTAAACAAACAGTCACCAAAGAACCGATGTGTCATAAAGTCTCAGTAATAGGCTCCCTCTGACAGAAATCCTTGGAAGCCCTAAGACTCTAAGAAACACTCCAGAAAAAGCGCCCTTGGAAATCAGGGATTCTTGGACGTCTGCTAAGCAGCATAATCACTGTGTATAAAACGAGAACTAAGCCTCCCTCAGTCCCCAGGCCCCCCCTCCTCACCCCCATCCCCAGGACGTCCCTCCCACCCACACACCTGCACGGGGCACGCACCACCGAGGCCTCATGTTGCGGTGGGAGTGCCTCTGCCCCCTCATCCCCGACGGACAGGCCTGCTCCCAGGGGCAGGGGGGTGGCTTTGGTCCTGGGTCAGCACGGCGACCTCTCATTCTGTCACCAGCATCAAGGAGCCCAGGCATTTCCCAAACACAACCTACAGGATCCCAGGCGCGGGAGGTCAGCCAAGGAGGCGAAGGAAGCCTGCTCCTCCCACCGGCTGCTCTTGCAATCCCCCAGGCGGGTCCTGCAGGCTTGGCAAAGCCCTGGCTCTCAGACAGCTCACCAAAGGCCCTGGGGCTTTTGGAGCTTCCTAGGTCGAGGCGGGAGGGGGGAAAAGGGGGGGAGGAGAGCCAGAGCCATCATTTTTCTTCTACAGGATCCTTTACACTCAACAACGCCCTCACAGTAAGCCCTTTGCTACACAATTAGTGAGCCGACCGCTGGCTGCTCTCCCGGGAAACCCAGCACGCTGACCTTCTCAAAGCAGCCGACTGACAGCGGGAGCGACCACGCTGCCAAAACGGTCAACCAGGCCCTTCTCCCTTCACTTCCCACGAACACCCTGGGCTGCACGTGGCTCAGGCACCGAGACAAGTCCTCCTGCGAAGCTGGACAGGCAGCTCCTCCGGATCCGCTCCTTCTGGGCACGAACCTCCCCTGTCCTCCGGTCCCTGCCTCGCACCGGAAGCCCCCTCAGGGCTTCAGTGTCGCTCTGAGGCTCTGCCTGTTTCTGACTTTCGCCCTCCTCAGCATGAATGAGGAGGTGAAAGAAAGCAGGCACCTATGAAAGGCCTTTTGTCTGCTCTGGGTCTGCCTGTTCAGGTGTGTGGGGGAGGGGGCCATCCTGGGGGTGGGGGTGAGGGGATGGGGCCTGGGGCCAGGGAGGCTTGGTTCGGGGCAGGCGCATGGGCCCCCTCCTGCGAGCCCAGAGAGGACTTAAGTCATAAGCTCAAGTTCACTAGGAATGTGGAAACTGTACCGCCATTGTTTGCTGTTGTTAATCCTCACCCGAGGATATTTTTCCATTGATTTTTAGAGAGAGAAGGGAGAGGGAGAGACAGAGACAAACATCCACGTGAGAGAGACATTGATTGGTTGCCTCCTGCACGCACCCCAAACAGGGCCGGGGAATCTGCAACCAAGGTTTGTGCCCTTCACCAGAATCGAACCCGGGGCCTTTCAGTCCTTGGGCCGATGCTCTATCCACTGAGCCAAACCGGCTAGGGTGAAACTATAGTACCATTACATTCAGAATATGTCTGATGACACGAAGTAAGGGTCGGGCGAGGATGTGGGGCAACAGGAGCTCATAAAACGGCAAAGCCACTGTGGAAACCAATGTGGCTTCCTCGGATCACGTGAAAAGGGCACATTCCCAGCCACCCGGCCATCCCAGTCCTCGGTGTACACCTGAGAGAAAGCTTCGCGTGGGGAAAGCAGGGCAAAGGGACACAGGTGATCACAGTAGCCGTGTTCGCAAAAAGCACGCCCACCGCCAGCAGAAGGCACCAGCTGGGCTGCGTCCATGCAGTGAAGTGCTGCCCAGCGGTGGACATGAGCCAAGGCTGCAGGCACCAACTTGGCTGAATCACAAACATTTAACATGATGTAAAAAAATAAAAAGGAAGTCACAAAACCAGACATACAGTATAGGTCTCCAGGACAATTCTATGTACATGAAAGCCTAAAACACCCAAAACTAAATAATATATTACCGAGCACAGGGATCCACCAACTAGTATAGCCCTCTGGCCAGGTGTACCTGCGGTCTGCTTTTGTAAATAAAGTTTTATTGGCACACAGCCACAGCCATCCGTTTACACACTGGTCTGTGGCTGTGGTTCTTGCTACAAGAGAAAGCTGAATGGCTGCCACAGACTATGTGGCTCATTAAAAAATTACTACCAGCCCCAGCTGGCTTGGCTTCTCTCTCTCTCCCTCTCCCTTCCTCTCTGAAATCAATCTACACTAATAAAAGAGAAACATGGTAATTAGCATACGACCGCTACCCTTCCCATTGGCTAATCAGCATATCCTTATGCAAATTAACTGTCAGCCAAGATGGCGGCCGGCAGCCATGCACTGAAGCAAGCAGGGAGACTTGCTTGCTCCAGTGACTGCGGACTCCAACGTTCCCCGCCTGCCGCTGCCGGCCTCTCAGCTGCAACTCTAAGCAACTATGTACTATGTTGCAAATAAGAAGCTAAACAAAACCCCAGAAACCGGCTTTCATTCAGCCAGGTGGACCGCAACATTGTATCGATGTTTTCAGCAGTGAGGCCTCAGAGCTAAAGCTGGCCCAGAATTAAAAAAAAAAAAAAAAAGAAAAAAAGGAGCGGTCGGGAGCTTCAGTCACCCGCTTCCGGAAAACAGCCCTCAGCCCCTCACCCAGACTGGCCAGGCACCCCAGTGGGGACCCCCACCCTGATCCAGGACACCCTTCAGGGCAAACCAGCCAGCCCCTACCCATGCACCAGGCCTCTATCCTATATTGTAAAAGGGTAATATGCCTCCCAGCACCGGGATCAGCGGAGCAGCGAGGCTCCTGGCACCGGGATCAGCGTGACAGGGGGCAGCGCCCAAACCCCCTGATCAGCTCTGCTCTGTGCCTGATAGGGGGGAGTGCCCCAATCCCCTGATTGCCCTGCGGCTCTGTGTTTGACAAGGTGCGGCGCACCAACCCCCTGATCGGCCCTGCTTTGTGTGTGACAGGGTGCGGCGCCCCAACCCCCCCCTTCCCACGGGCCCTGCTCTGTGTGTGACAGGGTAGAGCCATAACCTCTCCATCGGCCCTGCCCTGAGTGTGACAGTAGTGGCGCCCCAACCCCCTGATCGGCCCTGCTCTGTGGGTGATAGAGGGTGGCGCCCCAATCCCCCTCCACGGGCCTTGCTCTGTGTGTGGCAGGGTAGAGCCATAACCTCCCCATTGGCCCTGCTCTGTGTGTGACAGGGGGCGGTGCCCCAGCTCCCCTATCGGCCCTACTCTGTGAGTGACAGGGGGGAGCTCCCCAAGCCCCTGAT